TTTTAATAAAAGTGGCTGTTGAAAAGCCTTAAGAAGAAGAAGAGCTGGATAATTGCTTTTCACCTCATCAGTTTACCCAGGACAGTGTTCAAAATTATGTTTGGTCCTTGGATTCTTAGGTGCTTTCCAATGGTATTTGAATAAAGGGACTTGCATACTAGCATACCTAATTCTCATCAAGAGAAGTTACCTGTGTGTGTTATTTCACCCATCAGTCATGATCACTGTTCACATGACCACTGATTCATTCCAGACTCTGAAGTAATTATTATCCCACGCAATGCGTTTAATGCGAAGTGGGGGATATAGTATTAGGCTCTGTCCGTCCATCCGTCTGAACGTACGTACGAATTGGAATATCTTAAGAACTATTGACTAGATTCTTATCATACTTGGTACCTAGGTTCATCACAGTATAAGAAAAGTCCCAGTCAGGTTTGGTGACCTTGACCTTCATTTCAAGGTCACAAGGGGACTTAAACGTTTTACCCTTGTCAGCGTGATATCTCAAGAACCGTTCACTGAATTTTCTTCATGTTTGACACCAAGCTTCATATAAGGAAGGCACAGGACCCAGTTGATTTTGGTGACCTTCACGAAAGTTTCAAGGTCACTGCAACACTTTGAAGAATTCAGCATGTTAACCTGCATGTTAAAGGTCACATGCAACCAAAAAATCAAACATAATTAAAATACAATTATCACTTATTCATGACATATAATATACATTGCTGGTTATGAAAAAACATATCAAAAGTGCAATATTGTGTACTTGGGTTTACTTCCCAAGAAACGAAGCAGCCGGGATACCGAACCCAGTCAGAGCGGGTGGGTGTGCACTCAAGTGTAATGGCTGGTTCATTTGCAGATGCCCTCACGGCTCATTGTGTGTGTATATATAGAGATGTTGGGTTTTGTAAATACATGCTCATTTTTTGTGTATAACATTTTGCAATCAACAGACATCATAACATGTCATGTGTACAAGTGTCACACCTGCCTGTCTGTGTAATTACATAATGTGACAGACACCGAACTCGGGCCATAAATCAATGCGTTTTGTTTATGGTGTATAGCCTGATAGGTGTTAAGTTCAAATTGCATGTGGTCAGTGATCGCAGTTGTGTATTGAATATTGTCATTAGCAGACAGGCAGGCAGACACACTGGTGTCAATAAAACAAGACATTGAGTTTTGTCTGTGACAACGACATATCTATATCACAGTTAGAAATTCTGTCAACGCTAAATAATGACATTGCTTTTAAGTATCGAACTGAGAAAGTGACTCGGTAAGAAGAACGTGTGGTGAAATAGACAAATGAAATTATATAAACAGTTTATTTACTGTCATAACATATAAAAAGCTCGCGATTGTGAGATATCAACAAAACATTAGGAAAATAGCTCACACCAAAGCCTTCACCGAGTATTCACCGGACAACCCGATTTCAAGTTGCGTGAACCTATTTCACTGCGCACGTGCTATGAGTGCAGCCCAGCTGTTGAAACCAGTTTTCCCCAGAAAAGTCGGGGGAAAATTATTGAATCGTTTGAACTCCGATTTCGCGCGGGTTTTTTCATCGCGTTATTTTTCAACTTTATAAGATGAATTTGCATTTTTGATGATTTGTTTCGGTAAGTCCATACCGAAAGGTATCAGAATCTGGAAAGTTGTGTTGTACGTTGCATGTGACCTTTAAGCTTTTCAGCGAGATACCTCAAGAACCAATCACTAGATTTTCTCCATATTTGACACCAAACTTCCCCTAGGGAATCCGCAGGGCCCAGTCGATTTTGGTGACCTTCACATTTCGGCTGCAACGAATACACTATGTGGCGAATATGATACGTATCATGAATATTGGGTAACGAATACGAATAATTATTCATGAATACAATATTGTAGTTAAGAGATTGATGTACAATATGGAACGCCCATGTTGACAGTTCGATTTGTCACAGCAATAACCAGTGATCTCATGACACTCAAATTTGGTATGTAATAGTTATAATCGACAGTACTATGTGCAGTCTTGGCAAACTAACATGACTTGCACTGCTGCAATGCTAGTACATGTTCGATTCTTGCATATCTCACTTTGGAAAAGGACATAAGGGTTTAAGTAAAACACACTCCCTTAAAAAACCCGTAAATATTCGTTAATATTCGGTTCTGGTGACCACGAATAACGAATTGAATTCATGAAGGGCTACGGTTCGATTCACCGAATATGTGATTGAATCGTTACAGCCTTACTTCACATGATTTTCAAGGTCTAGACGACACTTTGAAGATTTCAGCATGTTAGCCTGCATGTTAAGCTTGTCAGCCAGATACCTCAAGAACTGTTCACTGGATTTTCTTCATATTTTACACCAAGCTTCACATAGGGGAAGGCGCAGGGCCCAGTGGATTTTGGTGACCTTCACGTAATTTTCAAGGTTATAGCGACACTTTTGAAGATTTCACCATGTTAACCTGCATGTTAAGCTTGTCAGCGAGATATCTCAGGAATGATTCACTGGATTTTTATCCCCCGCTGCGCGTTTAGTGCGAAGCGGGGGATACAGTATTAGGCTCCGTCCGTCCGAACGTACGAATTGGAATATCTTAAGAACCGTTGACTGGATTCTTTTCATATTTGGTACCTAGGTTCATCACAGTAAAAGAAAGGTCCCAGTCAGGTTTGGTGACCTTGACCTTCATTGCAAAGTCACAAGAGGACTTTAACGTTTTACCCTTGTCAGCGAGATATCTCAAGAACCGTTCACTGGATTTTCTTCATATTCAACACCAAGCTTTATCTAGGGAAGGCACAGGGCCCAGATGATTTTGGTGACCTTCACCTAATTTTCAAGGTCATGGCGACTCTTTGAAGACTTTGTCAGCAAGATACCTCAAGAACAGTTGACTGGATTTTCTTCATACTTTCAAGACATCCCTTGAATATTTTTCAATAAGCAATTTCTTTATTACTATTTTTGCATATTTCATACACTAAGACATTCATGTCAAGGTCAAAATGAGTCTTGAAAATATTTGTGCGTTTGAACAACTAAAGAGCAAGATAATGTTTTTGTTGACATTTAACTTCATCTTAAACTTTCACTACTTTATAAGTTTGATTTGATAATTTGCGGCAGGGGATTATGTCACCTTAGTGACAATGCTTGTTACTGTATGTAGGTTACACAGGTGAGTCTGACTGGTCTGGGATATTTCACAGGACGGAGCTGGTAGTACCTAAATCGTAACAAATGGAGACTTTTCCATTTTAACACGTAGTTAGACCTCTATCACATCAGACACACATGTTAATAGATCACTGGCAGTGGTTGGAAAATCATAGTTGATTTCACCTTCCTTGAGAATTTCAATGTCTTCAGTTTCAAATTCATGTGAAAAGTCAACTAAATTTTTAAAATTTGTCATGGGGATGTTTTTCACAAGCGAACCAATGAACAGATTTCATCAAGGTGAAAACTGCTTTGTCTTGTTTTTCATACATACGTGCAGTTGCAACCTGCAAATGATCACAAAGTTTTGGAGCCTGAACGAACAGTTTATGATCATTATATGATTAAGATGTCTGGTCAAAGTTGTATTTTGAAATTTCTGCATTTAGCATCTTGTATCATAACATTTTCTTTACCATTTTCAGTACATAACCAATGAGTATTCAACCAACGTGACTGAAATGTCCTAACTTTGTGTTTTCTGACAGTATAGCCCTCCTCCTGGGCAGAGCATTCACTTTTCTCAGTTGTATCTTTGTTTATGTCACCTTGACCAAACATAGAAGTCAATGTTTTTTTGCGAACTTGACAGTTTTAGTATTTTTCCGGGTGGCATGTCGACTGCTATCTTATAATAATAACACGACAGAAACCATGGTCGTATACAAGCTTGCTTCCGATTGGCTTCTTGCTTATTGTCAGCCAATCAGCTGTCAGGTTTTGAAGAAAATGATTACTTTTAGATACATATTTTTTAGGAGTGAGTAGATCGATTGAAGAGACTTTTGTTTGTTTGTGCACATATAATTAGCCATCTATACTTCGCACATAACGGTGATATTGCCAAAAGGATGCACATGTAAAAAAAATATATGAATCCTGCCAGAATTTATTGTGTTGAAGACACGGGGGTAAATTGATCCCTGACCTAGTATACCGTATATTACGGTATATAAGCCGAATTTTGAGGACCAAAAAAAGCAGTCTGTAGAAGGGCGTTGGCTTATCTATGGGTTACACTTTAGTCAAACTTTTTTTTCAGGGGGGTAAGAAAACGACATTGTATCGCTTTGCATAAACAGACAAACAAGGGAAGACGACTTTGTCAGTCGAAAAACGTACCCTCATGAACATAAGTGGAAGTTGTACGCCCATGGAATGGGGTAAAATAAGCAAGCCAGTTGTTGACCGTCCAGCTGTGATCGTCCAGCCACAATAAGTATGATATTTAGTGAAACAAAATACATTATCCATTTTCTGCCAACTACACTTCATATCGAGGTATGAGTAGACACGATGGTCTGAGTTTGCCGCGATTAGGACTCCTAATCGGGGGTTGGTTGGGGGGGTGTCGGCTTATGTAAGAAACATACCATTTTGATACTGATTTTAAGGGTCAAGTTAGGGGATTGGCTTATCTATGGGGTCGGCCTATCTACGGTAATATACGGTACTTTCTGTTGGGTTAGTGAATATTAAATGGTGATTTGTTCCTTGTTGTGTACAACTCACTCAACCTCAATCAGATGAATCTTCAGCTAGTGAAATTTAATGTTGGCCAGTAACTTTCAAGGCAAGCTAGCTCCATGGTCTGACCACTAAGAGCTGAAATTATTTCAAGCACTCATGCACATACTGTGCAATGAGGCTCCATATGGGAATGACTATGAACATTAATTGTAAGGCTATTTAAATTTAGGACACATGAAACATATATTCTTGTTGATATGAATCTATTCAAATTTTTTTGTTTTGTTTCAGGATGAAGCCCAACACATAAAAGGTCCAAATGAAAATGAACGGAGAGACTCCCAGTGTTCCCATAACCACCCTGGCAGGCATATCTAGTCTAACAGACTGTAAGTTGATATTTTAACTAAAATGCTTTATTAGTTCAGAATTAAAAGCAGCATGTTGGAAGAATGTCTCAGGGATATAATTAGTCTGTGCAAAAGTGCCTTATATGTTTGAGTGTACCAGACATATCTCTTGACATTTTCAGTGAAATTGTATTGTTAAGCTTGGACTTTCATCAGCAAAGTATACTGGACCAAAAGAAATTTTAATAGACACTAGCTTTGGACAACTGACTTAAGTCACACATTGTATAGGGGCGGTGTCCTAGTGGTTAAAGCATTGGCTTGTCATGCCGAAGGCCTGGGTTCGATTCCCCACATGGGTACAATGTGTGAAGCCCATTTCTGGTGTCCCCCACTGTGATATTGCTGGAATATTGCTAAAAGCTGTTGAACCATACTCACTTACAGATTGTATAGGTTTGTCCAACACAAGTACTGTATGGTATTACCAGTATAGCCCTATACTGTACTATATATGTATTGCAATATATCTTCTGGTATATTGGTTGAACATAATATACCGTATTCGGCATGGTAAGCGCAGTGCACTTGTCATTCACTTGAACACACGCTACAAAGATAAAACATAAATCCTGTTCAAAATGCTTTATTGCCATCAAAACATGGTCAATAACAACAGAGTGTCAATCTGGACAGTACTCATGAAATACAAACTGTTCAAACGCCAACTTTTGTAAGAATTTCTAATTGAAACGAAAATACCTGCACAGACAATCAAGCTATGGAAATCGCTATTTTGCCGTCATCATATTGCTGAGGCATAACTCACTGGGCCAATGAAAATGAAGAACGTCATTGACCTACATAAAACGACCAACCATTGGTAATCAAAACATGAATCAGCTGATAAGCACATAGTACATTGCTTTACCAGTTGCAAACGATCTTGAAACTAGCGAAATTCATTGTACTGTTCATTGTACATATCCTTGTATTATGGGTTTTCAGATGCTAAAAAAGATTTTGGATTTCCTTGAATAATTACACAAACAACGGAACATCGTACTAACATAAAGACTTTATCATATAGGCATGCCATCACCCAAGTACTTTCACTGTTTACTGTGATGCAATACACGATGTTTTAGCGAGGGTAGACACCGCTATCCGAAAACGTATGAAGCCAGAAAACACATAACAAAACGATCTTCCAAGATTTTATTTCATTGAGTTAAATTTAGTCCCACTTTCATTCATTAAAATTATTTACAGTAACATCTGTGAAAACGTGTGTGAAATGGCATGCTTATTTTGCCTCATTCTGTATGCGTACAACTTCCATTTACCATATTCGTGAGAATCCGCTTTTCGCTCCTACCGCTTTAGCACCAATTTTACATTATTCTGAGCAGTCACGATCTGATTACCGCCTAGTCATCCATGGACCCTGATACCCGCGTTATTGACTCATTGAAGTCATATTTGACAATTACATTTTTTTTGCAATCAAAGTGGCATGTACCCCAGGAAGTCAACCACCCACTTGTACCCAAAGTACTGAGCCTATGTTAATTATTCAGTGTCTATTTTACTTTTCAGATGAAGTGGGCCCTGGGCCCATGGGTAATGAAACTAAAGTACTGTCGGAAATAGAAAAAACCCTGTTTTTTCGCATTTATATCTACAGTTTAAGTAGTTAACTTGTGAAAGTATGAAATATCTGTTAAACTAAGTGTTTTTTATCTTTTTGTGTGGAAAAACAAAAGTATTCGCGACTGTTGCTTCAATACCTTCACATTAGAAGACGATTTTGCTCCCGTTATTTTGGTTCGATAATTACCTTCAAATTCAGTCACCGCCCTTCGGTATAGAAAATTACTGCTAAGGGGCATAACTCTTAATGTATAGACAAATAGCATGACTTGAATAAGCTACGTATTATAAGCTCCATGCATTGATTTAGGCACCGTACTGGATGTTGGAAAGCGTGCATAGTGATGTGAGGATTACGAATGCCGATTGATCGCTAGAAAATGTGAAAACAAGTTGAAAATATTGGGAAGTTTATGTATGATTGTTACGAGTCACTTTATTTTTATGGTGCGCCAACTAGACTCACCAGGTCAAGGAATAGTGCGGCATGTTGTACTTCTATGGGCCAATGGCGCAAGGGCGCGGTCTAAAATAGACTCTCTTGATTATTATCCACCACCGCGCGTTAAGTGGGGGATATAGTATTAGGCTCCGTCTGTCCATACGTACGTACAAATTAGAATATGTTAAGAACTGTTGACTAGATTCTTTTCATATTGGTACCTAGGTTCCATCACAGTATAAGAAAGGTCCAAGTCAGATTTGGTGACCTTGACCTTCATTTCAAGGTCACAAGGGGACTTTAACAGTTTACCTTTGTCAGCGAGATATCTCAAGAACCGTTCCCTGGATTTTCTTCATATTCAACACCAAGCTTTACCTAAGGAAGGCTCAGGGCCCAGTTGATTTTGGTGACCTTCGCTGCCTTTTCAAGGTCACAGCGAAGATTTCAGCATGTTAAGCTGCATGTTAAGCTTGTCAGCGAGATACCTCAAGAACCATCCACTGTCATATTTGACACCAAGCTTCATCTAGGGAAGGTGCAAGGTCCAGTCGATTTTGGTGACTTTCACATAATTGTCAAGGTCACAGCGACACTTTGAAGATTTCAGCATGTTAAACTGCATGTTAAGATTGTCAGAGAGATATCTCCAGAACAGTTCACTGGATTTTCTCCATGGACTTTCAAGATTTCCCTTGAATGTTTTTCAATAAGCAATTATTACTATTTTTGCATATTTCATACACTAAGACATTCATGTCAAGGTCAAAGTCAGTCTTGAAAATATTTGTGCGTTTGAACAACTACAGAACAAGATATTAAGAGAGGTTGACTGGTCATGTTTTTGTTGACATTTAACTTCATCTTAAATTACGACCTTCACTTTCATTACTTTTTAAGTTTGATTTCATAATTTGCGGTAGGGGACTATGTTACCTAGTGACAATGCTTTTTTATGTTACATACGATACGTAGAAAAAAAACAGTATACTAATACAGTAGAAAAAAAACAGTATACAAATACAATAGCTTTCATTACTTTTTAAGTTTGATTTCATAATTTGCGGCGGGGGATTATGTCACCTAGTGACAATGCTTGTTATGTTACATATGATACGTAGAAAAAACCCAGTATACTAATACAATAGCAATTTATATTATCCCTGTGAAAATAACTGCTTAAGATGTAAATTCTTCTGATAATGGAACAGAAATTCTCTTGAAGTTACATTTTCGGATCATTTTTTCACTGAATCACCAGGTAGATTGGAGTGAAATGTGTTCTGGCTTAGTTGAATAACGGGTAGCATAACAGGAACAAAAATTGAATTATGTTGTCTTCTGGTGTTTCATTGTAAGTTTCCTACACATAATGTCTGTTTTCATTTTCAAAGCTAGTTTTTTCACCTCCGAAGATACGACATCATTTTGACTGGGCATAATGCACGTAATAGCAGTTATGCTATGCACAAGCAATCACTTGACAATATTATTATATTCATGAATAATTATTCATATTCGTTACTAGGGCTGCAACGAAACACTATGTGGCGAATATAAAAAGTATCACAAATATCTCATAAAATGACTGACCATGCTTTTTGACATCTTAATTTTTTCTTTACGTCTTGTCGTTTCTAATACCTGACCCACCATATAAAATACTTTTAACCCTAATGTGTTTATATTATTACACAAAACCAACAATGCAAGCACAGTTCAGTTGTTAGTTATGTATATTAGGTGCAAAGAGAAGAGAAAGCACAAACAATTTTCTTATCAATGAGCTACAAAATACTAATTATAAGCTTGGTCAGAATAGAAGCCAGTATTAATCAATGTCTTGATAACAATATAGGTATGCCTTGGTCAAATGGTGCCAATTGCTCTCCTACCCATGTTTTGTCAGTTTTTGCTACCATGATCTTTCCTGTAGATGTTTTGGCAGATATTTTTTAAGTTTAATGCTTGTACTGGTTCTGAATACTCAGATTAAAGACAAGTACAGGGATGGCAATTATCCACGATCCGCAGATTTCTGCTGATTTTATTTCAAATTGATCAATTCCAAGCTCCATTCTTCTTCATAGAGATCGCCCAGCAGTCCTTTTGGGCTGATCTTTCTTCTGATATATATTTGTTTTGTATCGTTAGTATGCATTTTCCAAGCTGAAAATGTCCTGTGACAGTTGTATCAATGTTTTTGAATAAAATATTATGATTGTACAATAAATAAACTTTTTATTTATTATACGGCCCCTACCTCACGGAGTTACCTCCCGTTGCGCATGCGCACCAACTGGGTAAGCTCCTAGACCCGTATCATCATTCCTTCTGCTGTCACTGCCGTGAACAGACGTCCATGAGCCGTACAGCGCTGAACTTTCTGAATAAGAAAACTATGTCTGATACTACACCACCTGTATGTATGGTCTTTATTTGCCTATGAAAGGAACAGTAAAGCTTTACAGTTGGTTGTTTCATAATTGTGACTTTGTATTAATTCTAATACGCTAACTTTCCCGTGGTTTACGCACATGTTGCTCTGCCATGGCGGGAAGTTTAGCGTGCCATGTGGTCGTAATATTGCGTATTGAACCAACTCTTACTTCCCGTGGTAGCCTTCACGTATTTTTCAATGTTTTCTACGTGTATATATGTTGCTGGTCCGCCGTTAGCTACATGCTTGCGTGTTTGCTTTCAGGCCTTTTCGTCCTGTTCGGTCTGTGGACAGAGCATTCCACGGGCCGACAGGCATGACCAATGTGTAGCCTGTCTGGAAAAGACCGGCCATGACGCCGGCGTGTCCAATATGTCTTGGGTTTTCCCCCCGCGCCCAAAAGAGGAGGGCGGCTGACACTCTTTTACAAAGAGATGCGAGAGGCGGGTGGGGAACTGACCCAGGTCCCCCCGTCTAAGGCCCAAAAGCGGTCTCGTAAGGGAA